GGGTTTGGGGTTGACCTCTTCCGCAGAATATTTGCTCACCACACACAACTCAAAGTCCTGGTATCATCGTATGGACTGGTATAAGTTACAAATCTGGATCCCCTTTAATATTTGTAAAAGGAAAGTTGAACATTCATTTATTTATCTTTTGATTTTCTTTTAAGTATTTCAAATATAGCACACATATATATATAGGAAAAGAATTATAAAAATAATATATATGTATGCATGCAATATATATATATATATATATATATATATATATACATAAAATTGTGTATTTAAGCAGCAATCCCTCTTTTATACATGTTTCATTAAAGATGACTGACAGGGTACTGTGATTAAGCTTTTTATTTAATTTTTTTGTGTTTGTACACAATCAAAATTACAAAGAATGAACATTATTTATGAGTTCAAATGCCCCTTAAGGAACTGTGTTCCAGATCAAGCCAAACTCATAATGACACACTACTACATGCCTATCCAGAAGACTTACATTACACCTATCCAACCACAGCTCCATTAAAACTGATTTAAACATACACACAAACCTACCAGACTCCATCTGAAACATACTAGTAGAAAATACAAGCATAATAACCTCATCGACATATAAGAAAAGATTAAAAATAATGGAAGCCCTGATAATAAAAAAGAAAAAGCCAACACTCAATAACTATGAACATGGCCACACTCTGCTGACCATTTTTGGAAAATAAAACATTCCTATAAACTCTAGATATGTACATAACAAAACCCATACATTCAGTTAAAAAGTAAAAATAAAATCATCTTTGATAATGGTTAAGAGTATAGCCAAATGTACTCATAAATGCAGAGGTTTTGGACAGTTTTACACACTTTGTGTCCAGAAAAGAAAACACTTGTATGAACACAAGAAAAATTAAATAAAAAGCTTAATTACAGTACCTTGTCTGTTGTCTTTAATAAAAAAAAATCACACACACGCATATACATATAAAAATGGGCTTTATATATATATATATATATATATATATATATATATATTGTTCTTTATTTTAATATCTTTTTTCAGTAATTTTATCCTTCTCTTCTTTTTCTTCTATTTCCTGTGTCATTTGTATATATATTCTTGCTTATATATTCAATCATATTTATGTGTTTGTGTATTATGATGTGATTTTATCTTGTCATTTATAAATCTTCCTCCATTGTCCACTAAATCTGCAGCCCAAATCCTACCAATGTAACTAATTTGTAGCAATAATGGTTATCTCTTACATCAGCACCAAAACATAAAAATATAGTTTCTCCATTTTTTTCTTTGAATAATTTTGTAATATTCTAAACTTAATGCATCGTAATATTTAAAATTGAATATTTGTAATTTTTATTCTTTAACTGCAAAGTAAATTAAAAGTTTATTCATTATACTGATTTCCAATCTACTATTAATATTAAAGCATTAACAAATTGCATGTAGGGTCCGTTGTCAAGCTATTTGAACTATCATTTTGATTGGCCATCATAGATTACATAATAATGTTCCCCCTATTGGAATGGCTGGGGGTCGGAACTTTTTAAAACTCTTTATTTTGCAATCAGCACCATCACTTGACAAAACACCAGAAGCGTTGAAACAAAATGGCTATTTTTTCTTTGTTCTATTACATCAATTGTTATTTTATGAACACCAGCACTATATGTGCAATATATTATAATTATATTTACATTGATATATATATATATATATATATATGAGGGCTGCAAATTCTGAATGCTCTTAAGCAGAATCCAATGATTATTCTGATTTTTATTTTGTTATTATGATGAGAATAGAAATTTATGAGATCATTTTTATGAGTTAATTTTCGGTGGGCATTAAGTTTGAAGCTACTGCATGTAACATGATGTCTAGGAAATGTAAAATATTATTTTCTTACATTTTGTATGTAAATTCTATTGTATATTTGATTGGTTTAGTTTATCTACAACATATATATATAAACTGTCCAAAGTTTATATTTTGTTATTTTTTTCAAGTACTTTTGACTTTCCTGTCATTATCAAGATTCAATATGGTGTCTGTGTTGTACTTTTAAATCCTTTGTCTGCATCTTGTGTTCATTAGTATGCTGGACATTTGAAATGGGCTAATGTGACATCATATGGAATTGCTATTGGTAACGATGCAGTACAAAATATTATCCACAACTTTGAACATAATACTAACCATCTTATCAGAATGTTGTAAAAGTTTAATAAAAAAAATTAAACTGACAGACTTTATCAGTTCTTTTTAATTAAACTTTTATGGATGAATATTTGCTTCTAAAATATACCTTATTGATATACATATATATATATATATATACATGCACACATACATACATACATACATATATATATATATATATATATATATATATATATATATATATATATATATATATATATATGAAAAAAGAGAGATAATGAAAGAGAAAAGAATGCTGAAGTAATTAAATACTACTAAGTTTCAGTCGATTCAGCTGCTCATCAAAAACAAAAAGTAAACATTAATATTTTCACAAGGAAGTGACTGACAACCAGGATCAAGGGGAAAAAAATGTAAAATCAGTTTTCCGGCTGTAAATAAATATTTAGCCACAACGTTAATCTTCATAAGTTTAATACCCTAGCCACCAAGCTATGTTGACAACTGCAAGAAAAAAAGTCAATTCTAATGAACATTCTGGATTCAAAATTATAATAAAGAAAATTTGTCACATTTATTCCTTTTTTTTGTTTATGCAATGAAATTTCCCCTGATCTTTTAACCTATATTCCTGCTCATGTTGATTTTGATTTCCTTTTGCACAACAGAGCATGGAGAACTTTATGATCTTTGGTTTAATAGTGGAAAGACATTTTTTTTTATCAGTCTCCTGTCATGAAGTGTAGAACTCTCCAGTTATTGGAGTGAAGGAAATGTGATAACACTAAAGAATTGACAATAGAATCTACTGGATGGATGAAGAACTTCAAGTTGAGTAAGCAATGTTCTTTTATGGTGCTATCAGAACTTTCTTGCTATGGAAACGGTTAACACCATGCATGCTTCAGAAAGTTGTATATTAAACACCTCTAAGAAGAGAGAAATAATAGTAATAATATCAATAATGATAATAATAATGATATAACAAAAGTGAAGAAATGACTGACCAAATATCTAAATTAAGGTGAAACAATATATAATGTACAAAATGGATATTATATATATATATATATATATATATATATATATATATATATACTCGACTCTACTGTTGAACTCGACATATGAGGGTCAAGCAGATTAGTTCCTAAGAAACTGACAGCCCGACACCAGCACATGAGATTTGATTATAGTGGTGAGGATTTTGTGCAGAACCATCCATACTTTTTGAAGAGCCAAATACAGAGACTTGGTGCACTACATGCCACAGTGTTCCCAAATGACCTTTCGCAGGTTTCAAATTCAAAGTTGTCCTTCTCCTAGACTAGTTGCAATCCAAGGCTATAAAATCCAGTCTGTCCTGCTATTTACCCAAATCTGGAGGGAGAAGAAGAGGATTCACACCTTTCCCAAGGGTATTAGCATGTAAGTATTCAACTGGAATTTGAACTCATCTCTCTGATTCCTCAGTGCAAGCCACTATCCATTACTCCACCATGCCTCCTCTTATATATCGGGGAAAATGTATGACAAACTGGACAGAGTTTACTTGTGACATGTTTCGTCCGTCAGGACTTCATCAGACAAAATTTTTTATGTTGGTACAACTACATAAGAACACGAAATGCTGGGAATTTTAGATTTCTTTTTTGTATCTAACTGATTTAATTTAGAGTCTTTTTCTTTTTCTTTCCATCACTTTTGCTAGTAGATATACCAGAAAAAAAATTCCCAGCGTCCCTCATTTTTGCGCATGTGTAGTCCTACCACAATAACAAATTTAGTCCGATGAAGTCCTGAAAGACGAAATGTGTCACAAGTAAACTCTGTCCACTTTGTCATACATTTTCCCCATATATATATATATATATATATATATATATATATATGGGTAGAAAGAAAGATTTAAAAAATAAATATATATATATATATATGGGTAGAAAGAAAGATTTAAAAAATAAAAATAAGTAAGACAAAAAGAAAAAGTAAGCTGGTTGTAATAAATGGAAGATGGTTGCAAGAATTTGCCACGAATTTCTGAATAAATAACATTTCTTGGCTTTTTAATCTCTGTAAATAAACTGTAGAAGTGCTGACTGCTACAACAAAAGGAGCCATGATTTTCGAATATTTTATTAGAATTGCCAATAGGGATATTAAACATTGTTTGCTGGCTGGTTTATTTTTTTATTATCCCCACTGCTACCATTATCTTGATCATTATCAATTTTATTAGCATTATTATCACAACATTAACATTATTGCCATAACTGGCATTGTAAATACTATCATCATGATCAATATAAAAATTATCACAAATACACTGCCGTAAATGTTTCCACCGCAACCACCGTCACCACCACCAACAACATAAATATTTTCAATGTTCCAACCACCATCACAATCATCATTTTCAATATTCTTGTTATCGTTATTTCAATGGCATCTGTCTGTCCCTGGAGACAGTTGGGTGTGGCACTCTGTTCTACAGGCCTGGACAGAACATGGGCTGCCCTTACACCCGAATCTTCTCTTCGACTTAAGATATCAATAAGATATTTATTGGGAGGTTTAATTCAGAGTTTTCCTTTCCTTACATTGACTGCTGCCCAAGGTGGTGAGAGAACCAAGTATGCCCTGCTATTTAACCCATAGCTGGGGAAAGAAGAAATGAAATCATGCTTTTTTCAAGGGTATTAGTGTGAAGTGAACAAAACACTTGGTCAGAATTTGAACTTGGCACACTGATTCCACTTGTGGAACATTATGCTACACACATCACCATCACTATCAATGTCAACATTTAGAATGATTCCATCACCACAAAAACAACAATCATCATCATCATCAACTTCTTTAGCATCAGTGTCCCACACATCATCAGCATCATTGTCATTATCAAGTTCAGCATTATCTAATGTTACTGCCAAAAAACCACCACCACTATTGTCAACTGCAATATTTTGAATGTTCCCACCACCACCACCATCATCATGATTATCAATGTCAACAATTTCAATCATCCTACCATCAGAACCACCACCCACACCATCAATATCATCATCTAGAACATTTTCAATCTTCACACCAATACCGACACCCCCACCATCATCTTTATCATCTTCATTTTAATTCCACCACCACCACCATCTTGAATATTTTCAATCTTTACACCACCACCACCACCAACAACTTCATGATTTTTTCATCTTTATTTTGATACACCACCACCACCCTCATTGTCATCATCTTTATTATCTTTATTTTAATCCTCTCCCACATCATCATAATCATGAACATTTTCAATCCTACCACTGCCATCACACTATCATCATCATCTTTATTATCTTAAAAATTTCAATCCTCCCACCATTATCACCACTACCATCACCACCATCATTATTGTTCTCAACATTAATTCAACAGCAATATTCCCTCTTACTTTTTTAGGGATTGTCTTGATGAATCTGTGGTTCCATATCGGCATAATGCATGCTTGTTCTGTGATTGACCGATGAGAAATCTGACATTTCAAGAGAAGAATTTCACAACACATGTTTTACCCTTTTCTGAAGGAACCAGTAATATTTTTTTTATTTTATAAAATTCAGAATATGTTGATTGAAATGTCATGAACTTTTAAATTATGCTAGGATAACTGTATAAACCATTCTTTGCATAAAATCATAGGTCCTTTTAACAAATGGCATTGACCAAAAGCTATTTTTTTCTTCAACACCTGTTCCACAAACAAACAATGTTTAATCTTTTTTATTTCTATCTATTTTCTCTGTGTATGATTATGTTTTCAATAAATGATATAGTGAAACCCACTGGAAATCATTTTGTTTGGAAATAATTGTATTTCTTCTACGCTTTTTTGGGGAGGTGTTGGTTATAAAATCTGTTTTTCTCACTGTATGGAGAATATTTCCCCAAACAGTATGATAGCCTTTAAAACTGAGGAACAAAACATATAAGAAACAAGTGAAGAGCTGCAGACATCATGAGGAGCCAATCATGAAACTCCTATTGTTTTCCCTGGAGTGTTGTAACAAAATATAATAGAAAAAAATGCTATAATGTTTACCAAAATATTTTTCACACAGTAGGAAAGATACATTTCATACATTGGCAAAAAATTATATTTCAGAATGAGTAATTTTTATTGGGTCTAGTGCTAATATTTCTTTGCAAATCAAACAAAAAATATCAAATTTTCTTCCCGTCAGATAGAAAAAAATGGATGCCATAAAAAGTAGCAGAAATAATAAATGTCCTTATTTTGTATAAATTTCTTCAATCTTAAAATGATATGTTTTTCCTCTCTAACCAATAATCAACACGTGTTGCCAACAATGTTTGATATCATCACTCAGTAATTATTTCAAAATTACTATCCCAAATTTGTTTGTTGAAACACATCCTGAACTTTAACCTTTACTTACATTATTTACATTTGAACTAATGTCCTCATCTTTGTTGTTATTATCTCAATAATTCGACCATTGTGTTTGCTGGTATTCTTCAGATGGCTGTTCAAAGTTTCAAAGTGAACCCTTTCTTCAGTCTATGAAGGTAGATTATTCTCATTTTTACTGTCAATATCAACAGATATTTTATTTTGATATTTTCAGTATGGCTCAGCTATTACTTACCCAGTTTCCAATGAGAGCTCTATTTGTACTGAGTGACCGATTTACAATGAGTGTCCTATTACCACTGAGTCAAAATTCTGTATTACTAACTCCAGTAATCTTCAGGGAATTTTGAGCTAAATTCTTTATTTAATCTACAGGAGAAGAATTTTCTTGTTCTGCTGTCCATGTCAAAGGATATCTCATTATTTTTAGTACTTTTCAGTTATTGCTTACTCTGTTTCAATTGATTCTAACTTTATACTCTGCCAAGGATTGAACTCACAATTTCTGTAACACAAAATTCAGAAACCAATGATTTAATCCGTAATCCTTTAATCTTGAAATTGAATCCTTAAAACTAATTTTCTTAAGGCCTGCCTGCTGGTGCCACTGTCAACTGAAGAAGGCTGGACAACACATCAGCCAAAACATTGTGATGATAACAACAATGATGAGGATATTAGTCCAAATGGAAATAATGATAATGCCTCATCTCAGAAATTCAGACAAAACTTTCACTTTTGGTTACAACATGCAACAGAATTATTTCTGGATCTTATTCTTTCAATATCTATTTTTGCAATTGATATGCAGTGAACAGGACCTAAAAAAGATTTTCAAAGTAGCAAGGTTCTTCTTGTTTCAAAAAATGCATTTAATATTCTAGCTTTTACTCATGTGAAAAATAGGCAACAATCTTGACCACAAAACACATCAGATATTTACAGTTATAAATTATATTGTAATAAATAAAATTTAGAATGATTGTGTAGCATTAATTGTTCAAGTGAAAAAGGAACCATTGAAAATCTTGATTAGAAATCTGAGGTCTGCACTTTGTCTTGAGCACTAGCATTGAATTAGCAGATATCTCAAAGATTATACAAGACCTACCTTAGATTCTTCATACTATCATCAGCCAAATACCAACTTTAATATTACACATGTTTTCATTTTTTTTTGCAGGATAGAATTTTTTGCATTACTTGGGAAACTTTTTGGCTCCTTTCCACATCATTTCAAACCTTTTCAGACTTTTGCCAATAATATGAACATTTTGACATAGATTTGAAGGTCACTTTCCAACTTGAACATATGAAGAGGTTTATCTTGGTGTATCCAATATATATATATATATATATATATATATATATATATATATATATATATATATATATATATATATAAAAGTAATAAAATAACAACACCTATTGATACATGTAAAATTATATAACTTAATGTATATCTAGTTAAACAAAATTTTGTCAATAACATCACAAAACTTTGAGTTGATATTCATGAAATAACTTGGTATTTTGAAACATACATTTTTATATATATATTTATATATATATATATATATATATATAGGTAGATAGTAGTCAGTATCATTGGAAATATGGATTTTATTTCAACTAAATCTACATTGGCGAGACAGAATGAATTTTACATTTTCATGATAAACTAAATTTTATAGAAAAGTAGGTTTTATTCTTTTTTTACTTTAATTGCATCATTTTTTAAAATTATATTTTACTAATTATAACTTTGTTTTTACTTATATATTCATTAGTTATAAGATTTTTCATATCATACATTGTTTCAACACCAGTCTCATAAAGACAGGGAATAAGTTGAAGAAGTCAGGTTGTATATTAAACACGTGATAAGAACATCATACTACTTCCACCAACACACACACACACACGCACACACATATTATGAAATGGATTATGGCCGACAATTATTTAATATATTTTCTCTTTATATGTTATTTTAATAGATACAATTTATTTAAGTAAATGCTCTGTTTTTAATTAAACAGTGTTAATTGCATTTACCAGCTTGAATGTCCAAGAAATTTTGTAAAAAATATGCATTCTCCAGAAAGATATTGCTTGGCAACTCTCACAAGCCCAATGTTTGAATGTTGCCTATAAAGGGTAATCTGCATGGTAGGGATTTTGCTGCTGATCACAGATTTCTTGCAGCATCATCTGATCCAAAATGAAATAAATATTTGAATTGATTTTTCTTGGTCATTATCAGTTATTTTAATTTTGTAATGTATATATTTAAAGAATTAAGAAATTTATTTTTAATCTGATATTTCATACTACAAGGACTCATTAGTCTTCCTTCTCTTCATGTTGATAGATTTTCAAATATTTTAGAATATTGTCAAATTCAAATTTTATTTCTTCTCCACGTTACATTTTCTGTTTCCTAAATAAAAATTTTCCACATTCCTTGATAAAGTTCCAAAAGAAACAAAACATATCAGCATAAAAGATCTTTTGCTTGTCATTTCTTTTAATATTATTGTCCTTAGAGATACATTTAATTATATCTGAAATTTTGCACACATACATATATGTTTCATTGAATAATATAGACATATTGTGTCTACTTATTTTTATATTGATCCTTTCTAGTTGTCTAATCAGTTTCTTGATGTTAAGATAAAATTCATCAAGGAAGGTGCCACAGTTTTTTTTAACCCAAGTACTTTTGATCTTTTCCAAGATCATCTTCAAGGGTGAAAAGACAAACTTATTGTAACTGTGATAAAATCTATAATGCCTCTCATATTATTGTGTTGACTTCCAATTTTAGACATGGACGTTGGATAGTACGGCAGTGGAGTTTGTATCTTTCTGCAAATAACTAAAGATTTTTTTTGCCTTGCTTACAGATGATACTCAGGCAAAATAGTGTTTGCCATTTTGCCATGAAAGTATGTAAGGACCTCAAGCGAAAAGATTAAATACTTCTAGGAAGAAAATATTACACCTATTAGCACTCATCAATACATGCTAAATATTTATGGAAACCAAACAGTGGATGTAAGTGCAGTAAGGTAATGGGTGATGTGCCTTTAGTTATGGTGAATGTAATGTGTATGATAAGCTATGTTCTTGGTGGTCTTGCACAGCAGTCAACAAATGAAATGAAAAGATCCTTGGAACAGGAGAAGAACAGGAAGGTCTAAAGATGAAGGGGGAGATTAAAATTTAACAGAGAGAAGTTTTATTCTTTAGTCTGCAACCTCTTTTCATTTTTAGACCTTCCTGTTCTTCTCTCGTCTGTTAACCTCTCTATATAGCATTTATTTATAGTCTAACATTCGTCCCCTTTCTCTCATACATACACTCTCACTAAATTTTATTTTTTATTCCCTATAGTTGTTTTTCTGTTTTCTTTTTTTGAATTTGTAGGTCTGATGAATTGGATCGTATTTACGATTCAATGGAATAAATTATGACCTGGAATATTAGTGTTTAAGCCTTTTTTATTATATTTATCATATATATATATATATATATATATATATATATATATATTAGATAGATACTGAGAGAGAGAAAGTTCATGGAGAATTT